GAGCATGCGGGGAGGTACTCACAGACCAGGGAACAGAGTTCCAGGGGGAGTTCAAGAAGCTGCTGGCGGAGTCTGGCATCACGCACCGAAAGACCTCCCGCTATCACCCGCAGAGTGATGGGCTGACTGAGAGAGCCGTGCAAACCTTCAAGCGGGGGCTGCGGGCCTACGGGGAGCAGAGGAAGAGGGATTGGGATGAGGAGTTGGACTGGATCGCGGCAGGGTACAGGTTCGGGAAGCAGGCAGCGTTGAAGGATCACTCCCCGTATAGCCTGCTGTTCGGACGAGAGCCGATTCTGCCAGTGGGAGCACCACGAGTATTGACAGATACAGTGACAGCGGGCACGATCAGGAACTGGGTAGCCCTGTCCGAGGTGAGGGCGCGCTACATGCGCTACATGATGCCAGCCGCGTTGGAGAATCTGCACACCGCGCAGCTCAGGGACGCAAGAAGATACGAACAGAGGCAACACAAAGGGGAGGGAAGAACAGCAAAGGATGTCTGCGAAGGACAGGAAGTCTATCTGAAGAGGGCTAAGCAGGACACCCTTGACGTGGGGTTGGGGACCATCCGCTGGAAAGTCAAGGAGGTGCGCCCCTCAGGGGTGCTGGTCTTGGAAAACGACACCGGAGCGCAGCTGAGGGAACATCAGACGAACACTGCAGTGATCAGAGGGACCGGGCCTCAGCGTACTGGTCCTGTGACCCGCGCTCAAGCCGCTCGAGCACGGGCACAGGAGGGGGCAGAGAGTGGCTGAGGCAACCGAAGGAGCTAAGGGACGAAGAGCATGAGGATTAAGGCAGATGATGAGGGTAGAGCTGTATCTCCGACATGTTTCAGGAGGGGGACACGAACATTGACAACAAGTAACAGTTAACATGGGTGCTTCTAGCTTAGTAATGAAGATAGTACTAGGGATTACCTAGTCTCACCCTAAAAATGGAGATCGAGCTTGAAATGAGCTTGATCTTATGTTTTCGCAGCTTTCTAATCCAACCAGCGTGACAAATGTCGCGCTAGTTTTTCTGCGAACATCAAATGCTCGCGGAACTGGGAGAAAATTCGGGAATTTCTCCCTTGTGCCGCGAACGCCCGAACATGTTAGGGCTGAACCCGAACATGCTTAAGGAAAAAAAAAAACGCATGTTCGGTTCGCCTTCGAACATGTTCAGGCGAACCGAACATGCGTTCGCCCCCATGCTTATGGCTAGCTCAGCCTAGCATCTCCTTAGCATCTCCTCATCTTCTTACGAGACACAATCCCTCGCTTGAGAGGGCCTTTCACCATCGCCTCTCCCACCATCCCATCTCCCCAGTGACCTCTCTAGCAACAACTTCCAAGGAACCATCGCTTCATTCTTCGCCACCCTCACGAAACTCAGTGTGCTGTATGCTCTGTCTGATGGCATGTTACAGCTTTCTAGGCTCCTGAAGAATCGTATTCTAAGCAGTAAATTTTCAAGAATGAAATGCAATCTATCTTGATTTCATTATTTTTGTAAGAAACATTTTGTTGGAAGGTAAGTGCGATAACAGTCATTCGTTCATTCATTCTCCAATCATGTTGCCCCTTTTTACAGACACTTTGGCAAGAACAAGTTCTCTGGAGGAATTCCGTCCCAGTTCGAGAGCCTCACAAACCTTACATACCTGTAAGATTCAGCGAATTCCCTCTTTTGTCTCTTCTGTCAACATTCTTGAAATGGTGTAAATGGTAACCTCATGCTCTTGCACACCGGGCTGGCTGTGTGAATCCATGCCGCCGTAATCCATACCACCACCATGCCTATATTACTGTTCTAACACAGGTTTGCTAGAATGCATGACCACAGCTGTCATACCACCACCACCACGCCCACGGCACTCTTCTCACGCTGCTGCTATCCTCCCACTGACATCACATCACCACGCGTCGCCCCCATCGTTGAAGAGAGATGATAATCAAAGCAGCTTATAATCGTTTGCATTGCTGTCCCCATTCTCACACTGGTGTTATCTTCTCACCGGCATCACATCACCACCGGCATCACATCACCACCCCCCAATGGTGTCTTCCCTGCAGGGGCTTCGCCACCAGCGTTCTCCAATGTCCTCCGAATGCCCCATTGCCATGCCATCACCACCCATCATGCCTATTGCCATCACCACCCATCATGCATATTGCCATCACCACCCATCATGCATATTGCCATCACCACCCATCATGCCTATTGCCATCACCACCCATCATGCCTATTGCCATCACCACCCACCATGCATATTGCCATCACCACCCATCATGCCTATTCCCATCACCACCCATCATGCCTATTGCCATCACCACCCATCATGCATATTGCCATCACCACCCATCATGCATATTGCCATCACCACCCATCATGCCTATTGCCATCACCACCCATCATGCCTATTGCCATCACCACCCACCATGCATATTGCCATCACCACCCATCATGCCTATTGCCATCACCACCCATCATGCCTATTGCCATCACCACCCACCATGCCTATTGCCATCACCACCCACCATGCCTATTGCCATCACCACCCACCATGCCTATTGCCATCACCATGAAAGAATATATTAGAGAGCGTAGCGATAGCGAGAGAGTTCCTGCTATAGGAATGATGTTGCGCCAGCAACTCGGTAGCGTTTCAGTAGCGTTCGTCTCTAAGGACTTAGTGAGAATTGAAGTAGCATTTGAGCCAAGTAAAATTGTAATATCAACTATGAATGCAAAAGCAAACACACAAGATAGATATAAGCTACGGGGAGGTTTCACAAAGTTGGCGTGGCGCTGCAGAGTAACCCAACCCCACGAAACTGTCGTGTGGGTGGGTGAACGCGCCTCGGCCAATCCCAACCTGACTCAGCAGCGGAATGGTTCGCCAAGCACGTCACACCACCAAACACCAACCCCAACTCGGCTACACCATACAAGACACCCTCAAACTTGCTAGGAAGTGGCGTGCCTTGCAAGGAAGGCTCGCAAGACTCCCATAGACTAGCACAAGCTCCATCGCAGCTGCTGCTAGTCAATGCGTGACCACCGTCTTTCCCGAGTTGGTGTCGTCAACGCTAGTAATCGCCCACCGCATACGACTGAGTCAACAGCTTCGTGAGGGCCCTTGCTGCCGTAGGGCCCTCTAACACTCCCGTGCCATACTACAGCAAGGCCCTTTATAATCACAGGGCATGCATACACACATACACGCCAAAACAAAGGGAGACACACACAAACGAAGCACTCTCAAAGTGCAAACACGCACCGCACCAGCCATGGATAGGCCATGGCACCATCCACGTCATGGAGTGTCTAGGTCTCACTCCCTTCGCTCGAGAGCCTCACCTGCCCCACAGCCTCGAAGCAACGACTGAAGGCGGGGTAATGCAATGCCTTCGTGAGGTAGTCAGCAGGCTGCTCGCTCGTAGGGATGTACTGCAGCTGCAGCTTCCTGCGCTTGACCATGTGCTGCAGCCACATGTGGCGACGCTCCATGTGCTTGAGACTCCCCTTGAGTCCCATGCCACCTGCCACTGAAATGGCGGAGGAGTTGTCCACAAAGAGAGTAGTGGGCTCCTCACTCCTCAGCAGTTGAAACTCTGCCAGCAGGCAGCGCAGCCTGCGCGCCTCCTTCCCAGCCTCCACAGCAGCAACGTACTCAGACTCAGTGGAGGAGAGGGTGGCGAAACGAATCCTCTGGCTCGCCCAAGAGACAGCAGCACCCCCGAGCACAAAGACATAGCCACCAGTGCTAGTCCTGTTCTGCTTATCCCCTGCATCATCAGCATCGGCGTAGCCCACCAGCTCGAAGGACTCCGGTCCACCACCAAACTCCAGCGCCACATCCCTGCTCCCCACCAAGTACGCCAAGCACCGGTCCAACTCCTTCCAGTGCTGGTCACTCCGCACAGTCTGGCCCGACCCCAGCTTGCTGCAGGCAAAAGAGATGTCGGGACGGGTGGTACAGGCCGCGAACTGCAAGGATCCCACTTTCTGCCTGTACTCCTCTTCCTGGCGAGACTGCCATCCCGCATCCTCAAAGGTCTGCACACTGAAAGGGTCAGAGAAAAGGGGGGTGCGAGGCACTCGCAACGGCTGCTCCCCGTCGAAGAAGCGCCTATGGACCTTGTCCACATAGGCCCCCTGGTGCAGCCACAGCCTCCTCGTAGGCCTGTCCCGAATCAGCTGCAAGCCCAGATACTTCTCCACAGGGCTAATCTCCCGCAGCTGAAAGGCACTCTGCAGCAGGTCACGCAGCTCCCCCAGCATGCTCTGACTGCGGCTGGCAGCAAGCAAGTCATCCACATACACCAGCAGCCAGCACATCTCCCCCTCAGCATCACTCTTGAAGTACAGAGCCTCATCCACCTGGCTCTTCTTCCATCCTGCCCCAAGCAGCACCCCATCCAAGGCCTCATACCATAGCAACGGGCTCTGCTTGAGCCCATACAGACTCTTCACCAACTTACAGACACGAGGAGTCCCATCCTCGTAGTAGCTCGGCTGCTCCATGTAAAGGTCTCGGTCCAGCACGCCATGGAGGAACGCGTTCTTCACATCCAGCTGCATCAAGTCCAAATCAAGTGCAGCTGCAATTGCCAGAAGCACACGTGCCGTCACATAGCTTCCCACAGGGGCGTACGTCTCCTCATAGTCCACCCCTGCCACCTGCGTGAACCCCTTTACCACCAGCCTCGCCTTCTCACGCTCCACTATCCCATCCGGTCGGAACTTGGTGTTCAAAATCCAGCGGTTCTTCATCACATTCACCCCTGGAGGACGCGGAACCAACTCCCACGTCCCCTGCTCAATCAAGCTCCGCATCTCCTCATCCATCGCCTCCTTCACCTTGTCGCCCTTCCAGCAGCCCAAGGCCTCCTTTACGGTCATCTTTGCTATATCCCACTGCCTCTCAGGGTCGGCCACCACGTCTGGGTCCAGGTCCGTCCACTCCTCGTCCTCCTCCTCGTCATCCAATCCCGCTGGCTCAACCACTAAAGCCCAAGCATACTTAAGAGGCGGGATACCACGAGTGATGCGAGTGGAGCGACGCAGTGGTGCAGTGATCGTCCCAGAAGCCAACATACGACCACCATCTCTAATTCCCCACATCTCCTGCTCCCCCGTCTGCGGCTCCCCTGTCTGCTGCTCCCCTAGCTGCTGGTCCACCATCTGCTGCTCCTCAATCCGCTCCTCCCCTATCTGCTGCTCCCCACTCTGCTGCTCCCCTGACTGCTGCTCCCCTATCTCCTGCCCCCCACTCTGCTGTACTCCATCCATACTGCTCTCGTCCTGCAGCTGCTCAGTCTCAAGGCGCTGCCTGTCGGTGATCTCCACAGACGGTGGCACCTCGGGTGAGGAGGAAGAAGGCGGGGCAGGGGGAATCACACGAGGGTAGACTGAAGGCGGAGGTGGGGTGGGGACCGAGGTAGGGACATAGGGCATGGCAGGAGGTGCGACCACCTCCTCCTTCTCCTCCGCCTCCTCGAGAGTGATCGGGAAGAGTGAGGGAAGGGGCTCATAGGGCATCGAGCGCCCCCCATGCTCCTGCTGATGCCGAGCCTTCCATCCTGCCAGGGACATGGTCTCATAAAACACAGCTTCCACAGTGGTGATGAGGCGGTTGGACTCCAAGTCCAGCACGGTCCAGCCCTTGCTCGCAGCTGTCACACCCAAGTGCAACCCCCAGCGAGCCTTAGGCGCCAGCTTCCCCCCACGCTGCGACTGTGGTACCATGTACTGCAGCATGCAGCCCCAAACACGCACCATACTGACATCAGGTTTGCGTCGGAAGGCGAGCTCGTACGGCGTCACACCAGAGGGCAGCGAGGCGTGCTCCACGCGGTTGCGCACCCAGACGGCCTGCGCCAACGCCAGGTGCCACCAGTGATGCTGCACACCCATGTGCAGCAGCATCGTCCGCACCGCCTCCACAATGCTGCGCATCTCCCTCTCGGCCATGCCGTTCTGCTCCGGTGTGTACGGGCATGTGAGGTCGTGGATGATCCCCTTCTCGTCGAGGAAGAGTGTGAAGTCGTGGCCCAGGAACTCGCCACCCCGATCAGTGCGCAACGCCTTCACCGTGGTCTTGCACTGCCTCTCTGCCATCGGGAGCCACTTCTGGAACGCCGCCAATGCATCACTCTTCTTGGCCAGAGGGTAGGCCCAGACGAACCGCGTCTTGCGATCTTTCAGCACCAAGAAGTAGCGGCTGCCGTCCTTAGCTGCTTCACGGAAAGGGCCACACAGGTCAGCATGCACCACCCCGAGCAACTCATCCTCCTCCTCTCCCACAGAAGGAAAGGTATGACGAGTGATCTTTCCCCCAACACAGGAGACACAAGGTTTGCCTGACTTGCCCCCCTTCTCCAAATCCAAGCCCTTCACTGACCCGTGAGTCGCTGTGCGCTCGATGGCATCAATACCAACGTGTGCCATACGCGCATGCCACAGGTCCCCCTTAGACCGCACGCCTGTCGCTAAGGTACGAAGTGCCACCGTTTCGCCTTCCTGCTGCTGCGTCGAACACGGCTGGAAGTTCGTGCAGAGAACACGCCCCTTGAACTCCGCACGACCAAGGAGCGATCCATCTGGTGCCCGCAGCAAAGTCACATCCCCGGCATCCAGCAGCTGCACACCACTATCACGCAGCTGCCCAGCAGAGAGAAGACTCGCCTGCACTCCAGGTACGTACAGCACGTCCGGCACCAAGACACGCCTGCCCCCCTCCCCAAGAAGAGCGACTGTGCCCCTCCCCTGCACCTCCTGAAGCGCGCCGTTGAAGCCAGTAACTTGTTTAATACTGCCGCCGCTGCTCATCTCCACAAAGGCAGACCGATCTCCCATGAGATGGTGGGAGCATCCGCTATCAAGCAGCACGACGCTCGGGTTCGCCTTCACAGCAGCTGCAACAGCCTGTAAGCCCTCCCCGGCCTCAGGCTCTAGCACAACGAGAGGAGTCTGCTCTACAACGGGCTTCACCATCGCACATGATGACTGCCCGCTCCCCTTAGAGCCATCACCCCCCTTGCTGCTGCTACCTCCAGAACCGTCTCCACCAGTGTCTGCCTCCTTATCCGCCCGTTGCTGACAGTACTTAGCAACATGCCCTGTCTGTCCACACACATAGCACTTCCCCTTGAAGCCCCCTTTCCCCCCCTTCGGCTGGCCATCCTTACCCCCTTTCCACTTCTCCCCTCCCCCACCAACCCCACCCCCATTCTTAGGCTGCTGCTGCTGTGCCGTAGTGGGAGGGGAAGGAAAAGAAGTCTGCTGAAATTGGGGCGTACCCTTCTTGGTAAAGACCTGGTTAGCCTGGGGAAAGAGTTGGTCCTTTCGTCCCTCCGCCGCCAGCGTACACTCCTCCTCGATAATGTAGCTAGCGAGGGTGTCCTCGTCCAACTCCTTGCGCACCTGCGGCAGCTTCAGCATCCTGCGTAAGAGATTGTACTGCTGCGGCAACCCCTTCACAACGTGAGTAATGTACGACGCCTGCGAGTAATCTACGCCGGCCATCCTCAGGTTTACTAGGAACTGCTGCGCACGGTTGCAATAGGACGTAGCGGATTCGTGCTCTCCCATCTCGAGGTTAGTGAGCGCCTGCTCTAACTGACCGATGTATAGATCGTCCTTCGCCATGTACGTGCGCATGATAAACTGCCATGCCTGAAAGCCGGCATCTACCTTGAAGCGGCACGCCTTAAGGGCGATCTGTACGGTTGGGGAGCAACATCGGGAAATGGTGGTGAACGTTAGCAACTGCATCGCGCGGAACTGAGAGAGATATGCAAGTGCACGCGCTGGTGGAATGGGAGTGGTGCCATCTATGAATCGCTTTAGCTGAGCGATCTCAAGCTGCGGCTCGATCGATTCTGTCCACGTCGACAGGTCGTGACGTCCTTCTAACGGCCTAGGGACAACGATCTTGTCTGGAGTGAATCTGAAGTAGCCATAGTTGGGGGCTATTCCCTCGTCCCTCGACATCGATCCAATCGGGGTAACGCCCGGCATAGCCTCACTATCGTACTCTTCCGCATTTCCTCCTCCAGCAACGCTCCGCCGTCCTACATTCGCATGCTCTCGTGACGCCGCTGCACGATGAACACGCTCCTGTACACCGCCGACGCTAGCCGTACTAAACCGAGTTGGTCCTCGCAGGACCCCACGCGACATCAACCCATCAAGCTCCTCGTCATCACTATTTCCGCCATCGACAGCCATATCCCACGCACTAGTACCTCCCGCAGCTTGCTCAACATTCTCTACACGTGGCGAAGGGTGCTCACGACGCCGACGCGAGCGCAATCCCTCCAACATTAGCTCGTATTCGATATCACTAATCTCACCACGAGAATGACGAGCAACGAGATCCTCCTCTAGGGCGTTACCGGCCTCCACGTTCGCCTCCTCCGTACTCATCCTCTACGACGTCTCTATAAGGTACCACAAATTAAAATAAATTGCCCCTTCCTTAAAATCCGTCGTCTCGGGGTCACCTCACAAGGGTCCTCAGACGAGTGGTAATAAATTACCAAACGCCCTATCCTTGGGTCCGAGAACGTAACTGGAGGGAAATCAAGAAAGGTTCAACTTAGATTAATAAGCGCCCTTCACTAACGCCGCACGCCAAGGCGAGTATACGAACGCGATCAACGACGACGGAAATCTATGCGTGTTCGTTCCACGCTCACCGCACCATGAAGGAATACATTAGAGAGCGTAGCGATAGAGAGAGAGTTCCTGCTATAGGAATGATGTTGCGCCAGCAACTCGGTAGCGTTTCAGTAGCGTTCGTCTCTAAGGACTTAGTGAGAATTGAAGTAGCATTTGAGCCAAGTAAAATTGTAATATCAACTATGAATGCAAAAGCAAACACACAAGATAGATATAAGCTACGGGGAGGTTTCACAAAGTTGGCGTGGCGCTGCAGAGTAACCCAACCCCACGAAACTGTCGTGTGGGTGGGTGAACGCGCCTCGGCCAATCCCAACCTGACTCAGCAGCGGAATGGTTCGCCAAGCACGTCACACCACCAAACACCAACCCCAACTCGGCTACACCATACAAGACACCCTCAAACTTGCTAGGAAGTGGCGTGCCTTGCAAGGAAGGCTCGCAAGACTCCCATAGACTAGCACAAGCTCCATCGCAGCTGCTGCTAGTCAATGCGTGACCACCGTCTTTCCCGAGTTGGTGTCGTCAACGCTAGTAGTCGCCCACCGCATACGACTGAGTCAACAGCTTCGTGAGGGCCCTTGCTGTCGTAGGGCCCTCTAACACACCACCCATCATGCCTATTGCCATCACCACCCACCATGCCTATTGCCATCACCACCCACCATGCCTATTGCCATCACCACCCACCATGCATATTGCCATCACCACCCATCATGCCTATTGCCATCACCACCCACCATGCATATTGCCATCACCACCCATCATGCCTATTGCCATCACCACCCATCATGCCTATTGCCATCACCACCCACCATGCCTATTGCCATCACCACCCACCATGCCTATTGCCATCACCACCCACCATGCCTATTGCCATCACCACCCATCATGCCTATTGCCATCACCACCCACCATGCCTATTGCCATCACCACCCACCATGCCTATTGCCATCACCACCCATCATGCCTATTGCCATCACCACCCATCATGCCTATTGCCATCACCACCCATCATGCCTATTGCCATCACCACCCACCATGCCTATTGCCATCACCACCCACCATGCCTATTGCCATCACCACCCACCATGCCTATTGCCATCACCACCCATCATGCATATTGCCATCACCTGCCTCCCCCCACCTCCCTGCAGGGGCTTCGCCACCAACGCTGTCCCACCCACCCACTCATCAACACCCGTCCCCTGCAGTGGTCACCTAGATTTTCAAATGCCCACCCACCCATCAACACCCGCCACTACTTCTGCCTCCTTACAGGAGCTTCGCCTCCAATAATCTCTCGGGCACCGTTCCACCCAACCTTGGGAGTCTCCCGCTCCTCATGGAGCTGTGAGTGTACAGGGAGGTGTGCGTATAAGGGGGGGATGTCAGTGTAAGTGGGGGTGTGTGCGATTACGAAGGGGATAGATATTGGAGTCGACTCAAAGGCCACCAATGCTCTCACCCCCACCGTTCCATCCACCCTCGGGAAAATCCTCCTTCTCACAGTGCTGTGAGTGCGAGGGGAGGTGTGAACGTGACGGGTTGTTTTAAGTTTGAGGGTGTGAGTGAAAGGGCAGGGGTGAACGCTACCTTTTCTCTCTCTTCCACACCACACCTTTCCTCCCCTCTCCCCCGCCCTCCAGTGAGCTGAACGAGAGCGGCGCAGTGTGTCCCACAGGAGCCGGGCAGCCGTGCGTCGTGCAGCAAACCCCCTTCCTTCGATCAAGGCTAATTTCTCCCCCTTTCCCCTGCCTCCCAGTAATCTGAATGAGAGTGGTGCAGTGTGTCTCACAGGAGCTGGGCAGCGGTGCGTCGTGCAGCAAACCCCCTTCAATCAAGGCTAATTTCTCCCCCTTTCCCCTGCCTCCCAGTAATCTGAATGAGAGTGGTGCAGTGTGTCCCACAGGTGCTGGTCAGCCGTGCGTGGTGCAGCAAACCCGCTCCTCGCAGTTCTGCCTCGCCTGCCCCGACTTCTGCTCCTCCTGCTCCAACAGCCCTGCCCCTTCCCCTGGCTCTCCTGCTAGCCCCCCTCCTCCTCCTCCATCCACCAGCACTCCTCCTCCTCCTCCTCCTCCTCCTCCTCCTCCTCCTCCTCCTCCTCCTCCTCCTCCTCCTCCTCCTCCTCCTCCTCCTTCCACAGATACACCTCCCTCCACTTCCTCCTCCCCCTCCTCCTCCTCGTCCGGCCTGCCTCTGGGAGCTATCATCGGCATTGCTGCTGTGGGGGGCGTACTCGTTATTGTCCTCCTCGTTATTGGGCTGTTTCTGCTGTGGAAGCGAAGGTCCAGCCCCCAAGGTAAAGTTCTGGCCGGTAGCCTGATGGACTTGGATGTCCTGTATTTGCTCTTGTTCTTGCTTTGGATTACTTTCTGTTCGTCTTACTTCACCTCTCCAGCACCCTCCCGTCTGTAAACACTGGAAATGCGTGGATTTGTTTTTTTTGTTTTGTTTGTTTGTTTGTTTGTTTGTTTTTTTTGTTTGTTTTTTTTTTTTTTGAATTCTCATTCGTTTCTAAAAGTCCTTAAGGATTTTTTCCAGAATAATAATTAAAAAAAAAAAAAAAAAAAACCCGTAAACGAATTGTCCCTTCTCTTCTGTTGTGTCGTGTCTGTCATATGCTGCTGTGCTACATCCACCCTATGTTCCATCCATTCCATTCCCACACTCCTCCAGCCCACACTCCCCTATGTTGTGTTACGGGCCCATGAAGCTCAAGCGAGCAACGGGCTGACAGAAGGCATTTTTTAGACTTCTTAAAACCCTTGTCATGCCATCCCATCCCATCCCATCCCATCTCATCCCATCCCACAATCCACCAGGCCAGGAGCAGCCCAAGGACGCACAAGCAAGCGACGGGGCAACAGAAGCCGGCGAGGTGTCGGCCATGCCGAACCAGGCGCACATGTGCCAGCGCTACTCCTTTGCCACTGTGGCCAAGGCGACTGACAACTGGGCAGAAGGAAACCGTATTGGGTCGGGCGGGTATGGCGAGGTGTATCGGGGGGTGTCTCCTGTGGACCCTTCGGTGGTGTGGGCTGTGAAGCGCGCCAAGATACTCACCAATGACTTCAAGCGAGAGGTATGTGTGTGTGTGTGTGTGTGTGTGTGTGTGTGTGTGTGTGTGTGTGTGTGCGTGCGTGCGTGCGTGCGTGCGTGCGTCCATGCGTGCGTGCGTGCATGCGTCCGTGCGTGCGTGCGTCGGTGCGTGCATGCGTCCGTGCGTGCGTCGGTGCGTGCGTGCGTCGGTGCGTGCGTGTGTGCGTGCGTTCGTGCGTGTGTGTGGTGGGGTGTGGTGTGGGGTATGAAGCTGTTGACTGCGCTGTTGTAGGATGGGATGGGTGTACTGGGAAAGCTGCCCTGTGGACCCGTCGGTGGTGTGGGCTGTGAAGCGTGCCAAGATACTCACCAACGACTTCAAGTGAGAGGTGTATGTGGAAGATGTGAAAGGGCGAGATAAACACATAAGTGTAAGGAAGTGAAAAGGAACAGTCGTACTAATTGTAATGATAATATTGATGGTAGTGTTTGAACTAGTAGATATAGTAACAATAATCATTATTATACAACGAGATTATGCCCCTTATTTCCCCCCACAATTTCCTTCCCAACTCTTTCCACAATTTTCCACTTCCTTCCATTCCCATGCCATCAAAGATGCCATCAAAGAGCCATCAGCTCATTTGACCTTTTTTTTCCTCTTCCCTTCCTTTCCCCATCTCGAGCAGGTGGAGGAGATGGCATCAAAGAGCCATCCGCACTTGGTGCAGTTGCTGGGGTACTGTGTGGACATCGATATGATGACAGAGCACCACGAGCAGATCGTCATTTATGAGTTCTGCTCCAAAGGGGACCTCGAGAAGTACCTCACTGGAGGTGAGAGGGGTCACTGGAGGTGAGAGGGGTCACTGGAGGTGAGAGGGGTCTTTCAATGGCGATGAGAGAAGTGCTTAGGGTTGGGTGAAAAGGAGAAACAATGCTATGCTGAAACATTATGCTATGCTATGCTAGTTAGAAGACAACGACGACTATTCTTCTCATTGAGAAGAAGCGCGAGAGCTGCGCATTATTGGCATTTGCGAAAAGGTCGATGGTATGTGGTCCCCAGCGCCTCTTCAGCAACCGGAACCAGGGGAGTTTCAACGAATAGTCGTCGTTGTCTTCTAACTTTGAGAGTGCGTCCGCATCCGCGTTGAGAGCTCGGGGAATCCATTCGATGGCCAACCGGATTTCATTCGCCATGTAGTGTGCGATGATGGACTTGCACAGAAGGGTGAGCTCGGGTTGCCCAGAACCGCCTTTTTGAAGAATGAAGAATACGCCCTGGTTGTCGACGTGCACAAGCACATGGCGGCCTCGAATTTGACTTGAGAATGCACTCAGGGCCCAGAGCACACCTTCAAGCTCCCGGCGTGTGCTCGAAGTGGAGAGGAGCTCGTATGGCATCGGGCTGCTGCCTTGCAGGTTTTCACCTGGGAAGGAAGCTAGGGTCGCACCCCAACTGTGAGCACTTGGGTCGACATGAATCACCGTGTCGATGCTGTGGGGCATGTGAAACAGCCCCGCTAAAACGATCAAAGTTCTCTAGCCAGAATTTGAGCTCGTCACGAGCCTCCAGGGTTAGGTGTGTCCTGGCATTCCATGACGGTGCTGCGTTGATGAGCTCTAGAAGTTGGTGACTGAATGCGCGTGCCGTTGTGCCAAGGGCGAGCGCCATGGAAGCGAGAATGTCGGTAACCCGTGCGACAAGGCGGATTGGTATCCGTTGTCGACGCTCGTAAGCGAAGATAAGCATCTGGAGCGTGTGCATGAGTTGTGCCTGACGTTCAGAGCTGATGGTGAATCTCCCGGATTGGGTGTCCAACTCCATCCCAAGAAATTGCAGTTTCTGGGTCGGGTTGAGGTGCGATTTTTTTGCATTGATGACAAGGCCCGACTGTCGTAGGTCACGAATGGTTGCATCCCGAGTTGCGCGTGCGTCCTTCGTCGAACTGCAGAGGAATAAGATATCGTCCATATATGGAACGACTCGGATACCTTGCGCTCGCCATCTTCGAGCCAGTTGTTTGATCAACTGAGTGAAAAGGAAGGGTGTTGTTGCGAGACCGAACGGTAACGACTTGAAGTAGTAATCCGTGCCATCGAAATGAAAACCTGTCAGAATGAACAAGAGTGATTGCACTAGGAAAGAGTTGGTTACAAGTAGGAAACCCTAAACTTACTGTACCCCATAGTAACTACCCCACTACAGCCTAAACAAACTGCAGCAGATATGACATTTGACACACCCCCATAGGCAAAGTGGGGGAGAGCAAGGGGTCACAAGACCAGTCAAGAAAGGCAAAGCAAGCTCAGGGTGGATCACAACGTCACCACACTCACTGAGCACAAGCAAAGGGCCACAAGGCCAGTTCACATGCAGAGGCATATATGTAACACAAACATCACAGTGATCTCTACCTAGCAAAGCAAGCATGCAGGTATATATATACAGATCACAGTACAAGCAAAGCCTACAGCAAGTGAGGAAAGGTGGGCACAATCCCTAGCATAGTGCAGAAACGCTGATGACCACCAGACTGAAGTGCCTTGGTGAATATATCAGCAGTGTTGGCCCGAGTGGCTACGTAAGCAAGACGAAGCTGACCACGCTGCTGCAACTCTCGAGCCAGGAAGTAACGTAGAGCGATGTGCTTCATTCTGTGCTCCAGTCTGTGCTCCTCACACTAGGAAATGGCAGCCTTGTTGTCCACGTACAGCACTGGAGGAGAACGAGGCCGCTCTCCCAAGTCGGTAAGCAGGTAGGTGAGCCAGCGTAACTCCTGTGCAGCCATGGCTGTGGCGTAGATCTCAGCCTCACAACTGGAGCTGAGAACTGAAGACGAACGTGTAGAACGCCAAGAAACTGAACCAGAGCCAAGGCTGAAGGTGTAACCCTGTGACGACCGCTGAGTAGCCTGGTCGTCAACCCAAGAAGCATCTGAGTGCCCAGTGAGAACAACTGAGCTCCTCCCTCCAAGCACGAGCCCCATGCCAGATGTACTGCACAAGTAGCGTAGTACCCTCTTAGCAGTATCCATGTGCACCTTTCAGTGCCGACCAGGAGCCACGTAGCGAGTCAGAAGGCCAAGAGGGTACGCAAGGTCAGGACGAGTGCAAGTCATCAGGTACATGAGGCAGCCAACTAGCTCTGGGTAAGGACCACTCGGCTCTACGGACTCGTCCAAAGGTGGAGCTGAGAGCGAGTGACCTGTAGCCAGAGGAGTCGGCTGTGCCGAGGACCAGGTGAAGCCGAAACGTTGAAGGACCTGCTGCACCATGTGTGACTGAGTCAGTGTGATGGTGCGGCGTGCTCTGTCCCGGGTGATCTGCAAGCCAAGGTAGCTGCGCAGCTCACCCAGGTCTGTGCACGTGTGTCTCTTCTGCAGCTCCGACTTCACCAGGGCGAGAGCCTTAGTGTCAGCAGTGGCAAAGACCAAGTCGTCGACGTACACGAGGATGTAGAACGGCGGCAGCGAAGTGTCGGTGCGCAGAAACAGTGATGGGTCAGCAATAGAAGGCGCGAACCCAAGAGCCGCAAGTGTAGTCCTCAGTGTGTCGTGCCACTCACGTGGCGCCTGGCGGAGACCGTAGACCGGCCGCCGGAGGCTCCACTGGGTACCAGGAGGAAACGACCCAGTGAAGCCAGGAGGGCGGCGCAGCCAGATCTCCTCGTGCAGGCTGCCCTGCAAGAAAGCTGTGCTAAAGTCAAGAGAGTGAAGCTCGTAGTCACGCTGAGCGGCAACGTGCAGTAGTACCCGAAGAGTGGTCATCTTCGGGGTGGGGGAGAAGGTCTTGAAGAAGTCTACTCCCTCTCGCTGACTAAAGCCTCGAGCAACGTAACGAGCCTTGAAGACAGGTGGAGAACCTGGCGGCCGCTTCACCCTGAAAATCCACATGCCACTGACGATGTTCGCCCCAGGAGGGGGAACCTCGTCGACGTAAGTGCCTGTGGACTTCAAGGATGCCATCTCTGCGTCCATGGCTGACTGCCACTGAGAGGAGTACTCACCCGCGATCGCCTCAGCGTAAGAGCGCGGGGTCGGGATGTCTGGTGCATCCGAGTCTCCCTCAGGTGCAATCAGCATGGACACGAGATGAGGTACAGCAGCAGCAAAGCACTCAAACTCCTCCTGCCTGTCCTCAAGGACGTCCGTGCCAAGAGCACACTCACCCC